GGGATTTAAAAATGGCGGCTCCCCGCTTATGCTAATGAAGCCCGGGAAATTCAAATCCCGGGCTTCATTAGCAAGTGCGGTATGCATACATTACCCAGCTAGTTCGAACTAGCGGGGTAGTGTAGACATACCCTGGATTCCTCACTGCCTATACTGTATTATCCTCCCAACAGCCTGGGCAGTGCTGTTATTCCCATTGTTCAGAGTGGAGCAGGGGTGTCCGAGGTACAGGGAAGCTAAGTGCCTTAGCTACAGGCTCCACAGGAGGTCAGTGGTGGAGCAGACAATTGACTCTAACCACTGAACAGTTCTTCCTCAGGCAGGGCATAGCATTTGGGCTGCTGTTTTAAAAAAAAACCCCACTTTCTTAATTCCCCTTCACTTTCACTCTCGCCTTCCTCTCTGGACAGCTGGGCTCTGCTCAGAAAGATAGCTCGGAAAGTGTACAGGGCTGGCTTAATCCATGCCAACAAGGAATGTTTTCTTGCTCCCCACTAGAAGATTTACTCGTCCTTGCTCAGGTCTTTAACTCCAGTCATTTTTTATTTTTGGAAAATAAAATGAACATGTCCAGGCTTCATTTGAATCGCTGCAGGATGCAGGCTGACCTGGCGAGAGAGGACAACCCCAGCCCTCTCTCACAGCTTGGGGCCAGGTGAGAAGTGCCTCTTCATGGCCACTGCAGCTACCGTGGCACAGCTGGGGGAGGGGTGCATGTCCCCCAGCTGGGGCAGGTCCAGGTTCATCTGCCTTCCCAGCCAGAATGAGGAATGCAGCAGACTGTGCGCTTCCCCTTCGCCAGGGAGTGAGGGGAAACAGCCAGCAATATTCATCTATGAATCAGGAGGGGGGATGTTTCTGCCTCATTAAAGGATGACTGGGGGGGTGGGATGCTCAGGGTTCAGACAGTGCTGGACTGGGAGGGCATCCCCTGCCAGCCCCTTTCACCTGTGTGGTGATTCTGTCTCTTTTCTGTAGGGTTTTCGGAGAAGCAATCCCATTCCAGGATTGTCCTGGCCCAACCAAACCCTGCCCTTGCTTTAAGTTATGAGAAGAGGAAGCTGCAAACCGAATTTGATGGTCCTAGCCCTTGCTGTTTAGGACGAGCTCTTGAACACAGAGAGACAGATTCTCTCAAATGTATAGTGGATTATTCTCCAGCTGGAACGACTCATGTCTCAGGCTGGTGTCAGGACTGCTAGTCTGAGCGCCTCCTTTTAAACCCTCCCTCGAGAGCTTGCACCTGTTTTATCTGAAGAGAACGTGACACCAAAGATAAATAATAATGAGCAAAGCCCCTGCGGGGCTGAGGCGAGGGGAGGCTGGGGAAGAATGAAAGACTCAGGGATTGTCTGGGGCGAGAGGATGGCTCGGGGCCTTAGCTACACAGCTCTGAGCAAAGGCGGCTGCGTAGACACGCAGCCCCACCTCAGGATTGGCCCCAGAAGGCGCTGTGCTTCAGTCACCCCGCCAAGGTGTTGTCACAGACTCACAGATTGTGCCCACGTTTCGCCTGTACGGTCCCCCGGGGAAGAGTCATCTGCCCCACGGTGGCTGCACCAACCATCCTATGGCCAGGAGGGACCCAGGGGATTATGGGGGTCTGGTGCAGTGGCAGCAGGAGTTGCTCCCTCTGGGTATGTCTACACTACCACCCTAGTTCGAGCTAGGGTGGTTAATGTAGGCAACCGAAGTTGCAAATGAAGCCCGGGAAATTCAAATCCCGGGCTTCATTTGAAACTTCGGGTACCTACATTAACCACCCTAGTTCGAACTAGGGTGGTTAATGTAGGCAACCGAAGTTGCAAATGAAGCCCGGGATTTGAATTTCCCGGGCTTCATTTGCATTTTGCCGGGCGCCGCCATTTTTAAATCCCCGCTAGTTCGGACTCCGTGCCCGCGGCTACACGGGGCACAGACTAGGTAGTTCGGATTAGGCTTCCTATTCCGAACTACCATTACTCCTCGTGGAACGAGGTGTACCGGTAGTTCGGAATAGGAAGCCTAATCCAAACTACCTAGTCCGTGCCGCGTGTAGCCGCAGGCACGGAGTCCGAACTAGCGGGGATTTAAAAATGGCGGCGCCCGGCAAAATGCAAATGAAGCCCGGGAAATTCAAATCCCGGGCTTCATTTGAAACTTCGGGTACCTACATTAACCACCCTAGCTCGAACTAGGGTGGTAGTGTAGACATACCCTCACTCTGGCATCGGTAGGAGCCAGCATGGCCCAGTAGCCTGCTCTACTTTGCCCTGCCATGCTGCCCTCTCCTGGCCCCTGGGTGCTCCATTGCCTGCTGCCATGGAGAAGTGAGGTGCAGCAGGCTGGGAGGATGGGCTGGAGTGCAGCAGGCTGCCAGGCAACTCTGTCTCCTGCTGCCCGTGTGGTCGTGGTTGGGGAGGCGACTCCGGCTCCCGCTGTGCCAGGCCCTTATAAAGCCCCCCCCCCCATCTCCGATCAGGAGTCCGGGTGCGTAGAAACCTTTCAGACCCACTTGGCAAGGTCCTTCTTTTCCTGAGAGCAGCTCCCATTCTCGCTAGCGCAGTCCTCGACTGGCATGGATTTCATGTGCAGAGCCGCTCGGGGGCAGCCTCCCAGGTGCTTTCTGGCAAGAAATGCTCCCAAGACGCGTTCTCAGAGGACTATCAGCTCTATAGCGAGGAGCAAGGAAAGTCCATGGCGTGCTGCTGCAGCTTGTTCCCAGATCCTCCTCTCGTGGCCTTGGTTTGTGCTGCGCAGACATGGATTGATCTGAAAAACGTTCACGCATGTGAATGCCGGGGAGATCCAGGACTCTAGGAAGTCAAGACAGAAGGCTACACGCTTCTCTGCTCCCACGGCTCAGCTGTGCGAGGGACGGCCCATTGCTTAGCCCCCACATGCGCCAGCCTGGCTTTCCTTTTCTCCCCTATGCAAATCCGACTGTTATTCCCTGTTCCCTTCCTGGGTTTTTCAGTGTCCCCATCCCCAAAGGTGCTGCAGCCACTCTGCTGCTTCCATCTGGCTGAGCAGACTCAGAGCCTGGTTGGCCGGCACTTCCTTGCAAAGTCTGGCTCCTCTAGCCAACCCTGATGTTTCTGCTGCACTCATCACTGTAACAGCTGGCTACATCACATGGGCTCAGAGTATCCACAAGGCGAAGAGAGTTGTCAGGTCCAAAGGCAGCAGTGTGGGAGAGGGTCAAAGATTTGTCTTCAGAAAAAGGTTTTGCTTTTTGTCTTTGCCAGCATGGAAATCTCAACTCAAAACGTGTTTTCATTGAGACAGGTTCGAGTTTATATCAAAGGCTGGAAATTACCCCTGGAATTCTGATATTTTTTTCCTGGAGGAAAAATAAACATTTCTTGACAAACTTTAGCTTGTATCTTAGAAACCTCTATTTTTAAGTGACACATGCCATGGTTGATCTCACACAAGGTTTGTATTAACAACCAGCAGTCCTGTGGCGCCTTAAGAGACTAACAAATGTATTAGATCATGAGCTTTCATGGGTAAAACCCACTTCATTAGATGAGTTATAGTAGAAATGACAGAATCCAGGGTAGATCCAACAGCAAAAACAGTTACCTGTCAATTGTAGGACCAGTGTTAATGAAGCTAATTAGCTCAGGCTGTCTGTCTCCCTTTCATAGCATTTGATGTGGAAATGTGAATATCAAAGGTGGGGGAAATGGCCTTTGTACTGCATTAACCAGTTTAATATCATTATCCAAGCCCAAGTTGATAGTATCAAACTTGTAAATGAACTCCAGTTGAGCACTCTCCCTCTGTGACTGGGTGGGAAATTCCTTTCTAGAAGAATGGCTACTTTAAAATCCATTACCGAATGTCCAGGCAGGTAAAATGTTCACCTACAGGCTTATGTGTGTTACATTCCTGATGTCTGATTTGTGTCCATTTTCCTTTGGTGCACAGATTGTTTGGTTTAGCCACTATACATAGCAGAGGGGCATTGCTGGCATATAGATCTCACTGGAGGATGTGCAGTTGTATGAGCCCCTGATGTGGTTTGCAAAGTGCAAAGTGGCTCAAAGAAACGAGCATCTAACTGCACTCGGACTGCTGGACTGCTGATTAGCGGTTCTCCTTAGGCCAGATGTGCAATCTGTATTTGCCTTAGTTTCCCCATCCGGTCAGTGGAGATGTTTCTTTATTCCTGGTGCTGAGAGGCAGAACCAAACCTGGGACTGTGGGAGCTTAGTGCATGAGCCTTGACACAGCTTGAGCTAAAAGCCAGCTGGCTCTCAGCTAAGGCTATAGAGCAATCTCATTCTTTCTCGCTGTAAGTGGTCTAAGAACCACTACATGGGACAGTGAGCCACACTCAGGAGGGGTGTGGTTTACAAGAGCACATCTGTCAAGTGCTATGCAAGTGCTAAGTGTCATCTGGAGAGACATCACCTCCATTTCTTTCCTTGGGTTTGATCACAAGTCAGGGTACGGCTAGACTGCAGGGGTTTTTTGGGATACCAGAGGTATCCCAATAAAACTCTGCTGCATCCAGGGAACATGTTTGCTCTTCCGCTTTTTTTGCAGAAGAGCAAACACACTCTTTTTTCGGAAGCCCCTGTATTCCTCATTCCATGAGGAAGAACGGGGCTTTCCAAAGAGGGTTTTTTTCCCGACATTTGGCCCAATCTAGATGGAGCCAAATTTTGGAAAAGCCTCTTCCAACAAAAGGATCAGAAAAAGATACGCAAAATGTGCTCCGCATTGTGTGTATCTTTTTCTGATATATCCTCGCAGTCTAGACATACCCTGTCAAGGAAAACAAACACCCCCCTCCATTCATTGCAGTGCTGGTTGCCTTCAGAAAGAGTTACTGTTCGCAGAGCGTGCTGAGGTTCCTAGCGAGCAGGTGCAATGGTTATTCGCTGCTTCAATATTACAGAAAGAAATTGTGCAAAGAAATTGTGGCTGGAGAGTTGAGGAGAGAGCAATTTCAGCATCAAAAAAAGACCATTCTGACCTGGGAAGAGGGTCAGACCATGGTACCCCAGGGACTGCATGCTAACTGGCTTGGGTGGAGAAGCAAGCAGCAAAGGATTGGCTAGCACAGGGAGGCAATCAGATGAAGCCGCTGGAGAGCCAGCGCTGTGAACAGCGCAGCGTTGCAAAGCTCCGGAGAAGGGAAAACACTGCTCCTGTCTGAGTGCCTGTGAATGCAGACAGCTGTGTGCATCGAAACCACACACGCTGCTCCAGTCCGCTTTTGTCTCATCGCCTTCAGCACGGGTAGGGCTTCCGACAGTTTGTTCTCCGACTCAGGCACGCCGGTTGGAAGAAAGTTGGGCGATGGCTTGGTGCTGGGATACTGGCCACAAATAGATGATTCAAAGGCAAGCAACAGTCTCTGAAAAGGCCGGTGCCTGATGCTCTTCGCCAGCAGGACATGCTGCGAACTGCAAGAGGAGGCTAAAAGGAGGTGATCTCTCGGGAGCTGTGCAGCATATCCAGGCTAGGACAGAAAGAGCTGGGAAGTCCTTGAGGCCATATGCCCCAAGGCAGCGCCCCCGACAGAGAACATACGGGGACACCGTGGAGTCAAACGCAAAGTGATAGCCCGTGGCTGGTTCAGGACCAGACTTCCAGCTGGTGCCGGTCTCTTCCCAGGCAGTGGTGAGGAATATACTGCAGGGCATGACTCTGCCCTCGCCAGGCTGGGGTGCACTAGGTGGCCCAGTAGGGCCATTCTATCGCTAGGGGGCTTACTGCTATCTGGCTAGTCCTTCTGTGCCGGCTTCTGGCCCCGGAGCGCCACACTCGGGTTGGTGGCCAATAGCAAAGGCAGGAAAAAAGCACAAGGGCAGGAGGGACAAAAACTCCTCTGAGAATGTCCGACCAGGAGACGGAGGACTTTGAAGTGGACAATCTGTCCGACACGTCCCGGATGATCCCCGGCCTCCCTCCGTACGACATGGACGACCAACTTCTTCCCCTGGAGCCTCGGAGCACCTGCTGCTGCTGGGCTTGGACCCTGCTGGTCGTCGCCACAAACTCTCTGGTCTTCCTCGTGAACTTGCTCCTGGTGGTCGCCATCTTTGCCGTCGTGCTGCTGCCGACGATCGTGGTGGTGTACTTCGGCTTCCAGTGCCACTCCCGGGTAAGTGAGCGCCAGCCTCGGCACTCCGACCCATGACAGGGCCCCGGCTTCCTGGGGCTTCTGGACCGAGCTCCTTTGAGGGAAGAGAGCAGGGACGGTGGCTTTAAAAGCCACTCAGCTTTAGCTTAATTTTCAAAAGGTGTATATGTGTGAGTGGGGGTGAGGGACAGACAGAATGTGCTTTGGGGTGTAAGCATCTTTGCGCACCAGCCATTGCAATGGCTTCAGATTCCCCCAGGAGCAATGTCCCCTCTAACTTTTTCCAATCATGTGTGGAATAACGTTATGTGCACCAAGCCCTGTGCGGATGTGCACCACCAGCAGAAACATATGCTGCCGACTGTGGGGGCTCTGCTAATCAGCCGGGCAGAACCTGAATCGCTCCTGGGCAGCCGCCCAAGCTTACAGGGCATGCTGCCCAGGAAAACTGACATTAGCAAGAGCTCCCCTGTAGGGCCTGATCCAATGCCCATCCAAACTGCTGGGAGTCTGTCCCTCGACGACACTGGGCATTGGAACGGGTCCTTATTCGAGCCCTTCCCAGGTGCTCCTTGCCTTCTCCTCTGAGCAGAGGCGACTCCGGTGGGATACATGGGCGGGAGCAGCGAGCTTGGTAAGAACCTAAGGAACCAAAAAAGCTGGAGCCCAACTTTCTAGAACAACCAGCCTCCATCCACACAATCCTGGCTGGAGCCGGCTTGGCTTTAAGCCCATCCCTGGGGTAGAAATGACAGATTTGTTTCCACTAGGACAATATTTCCTAGGAGAAAAAACAGCTGTACTGTGGGCCACAGGCCACTTGGAGCCTGGCATGCGGGGGAGAGGGGAGTAGAGAAACCCTGTGCACTGGGGCAAGCAAATGTCTTTCCTGAATACAGAGAGTTTAGATCTAGCCTCTGCGGGTTGAGATTTCAAGTTCCCTTTACACGGAGAGTTGAAGTGCGACAGAAATCTCACCTTTAACCCTGCCCCCCCCGGCTGCAGGAGAGTGTTCCCTGGACAGCGGGCTGACAAGCTGTGGGACTGGGTCACAAAGAGCTTTTACAGCAATGCGCTCCCCACTCGGCCAAAGCTCCCGCAAAGGATCATGGGAGTTGGGGCGCTCAGAGGATGCGGGGTTGACCTTTAGGGGTTATATTGCCCTGCCGTGCAGTCAGGGGGGTCACCCCTTTCTCCTTTGCTGGGTGCATGTGGGGGATTCCCATTCTCAGGGCAGGCACATGCACTCTGATAGGGAGGCAAACTTCTATATGTCCTGAAAGGCTTTCCCAGCACTTGACAGACTAGTGCATCCCACGCACTTACCGTCCAGGGCGGGCAGCTCCCAGCTGTTATCTTCATCCCGAGCCATGGACACTCCAGTACAGCGAAGTAACGTGTGTCACCCGTGGTGACCCCATGAGCCAGCAAAGAGCAGCCAAGATGTGACTGTAGCATCCTGTGGCTTTCCCCTTTGTGCTGGTGTGAAAGGGCCCGGCGCTGGGGGATGCATGACGCGCTGTACTGTTTATTCAGCATGCAGAAGCGGCGTTTCTTTCCCGGCTGATTTCTTCTCGTTTACATGCAGATTTAACGGGTGGGGGGTGCAGCTGGCTTGTTGAGGCAGGTCAGTCATGGGCATGCAGACATGGCACGTAACCTCCTGGAAGTTCCTTTGTCCGGCCATCTGCAAAATGCCCTCTGCGAAGGGGGCAAAGCAGGTCTCTGGGCTGTTCTCTCCTGGGGCTCAGTGGATTTGCTGTAGCTCAGTGTGGGACTTCCCCTCAGTGCCACAGGAAGGTCACCCCCCTGCCTCCATGGTTGGGCTCCCCCGACGCTTGCGGCAGGACTAGATGGGTGCTAGTTTTTGGATGAGATGGTGCCAAGGAGGCCCCTTTTAGGCCTGGAAAGGGGAAGTGTCAGATCCCCTCCCCCAGCTGTGGCATTTTAGGAGAGGTTTGCGATAGTGCTGCTGCCCTGGGCCTTTCTCTACAGCCGTTCGAAGCTTCCCCTCTCTGAGCTGCGGAGTCCAGGGCCTTTGCCTGGGGAATGTGCATGGGAACGCAGCTGAGGTTTGTTCTCCCAGAGGAGAAGCTGGGAAACAGCTGTGTCCTGCCCTAACCCGCCCCCCCTCGCCGCCCGCAGCACATGCCACTTCTCCCGACCAGCACGAGCTCTTCCTCCCCCCTACCCTCCAACAGCATCCAGGCAGGGCTGAGGCTGGACTTCGCCAGGCCAGGGGGAGCTTAGTTCTGGGCCCCCAGAAGAGGCAGGAGTTTGGGCAGAAGGGGGCAGGGCTGGGACCTCGCCTCCTCCAGCCAGGCCTTCAGCGCTGCTGAGTGTGCACCACCCAGAATCCGTTGGCCATTTAAAGGACCCAGCGCTTGGTCCTTTTAAATCACCAGGCCCTAGGGCAGCTGCCTCATCTCATTCCGCCCCCGCTCTGCTGCGGGGGGTCCTGCATCCAGGATAATAAGGAGATTCCATGGGGCTTTTGGGAGATCCCCTGGCACGTCCAAGTGTGTCCCACTCAAACCTCCAAGGGAACCTGGAAGTCTCCAGCAGCAGGGCTCTGCTTGCCCCTCTGGGTGTGAACTGACCCTTGGTCAGCTCCCCTGGCCCTTGGGCACTGGGGTACTCCTGTGCCAGAGCCAGACAGCGGCTCCCCTCCTCCGGCCCAGGCCGGTGCGCGGTGAGCGCTGGTGAGCACATCACAGCTCCATTGGCTGCACTTCCCCCCTCCCCAGGACACACACTCGGGGTCCACAGCAGTCCAGCTCTCTTCCACGTGGACGTTCTTTTCCCCTCCCCCAGCCCAGTGGCCTTGTGGGACAGCCCCCCGGACTACCAGAGAGTCTCAAACTTCATGGCACTGCCACCCACTTCTGACAACAACAAGATTCCCTGGCCCCGGATGGGGGACTGAACCCTGAGCCTGCCAAAGGCGGTGGGGCTCAGGCTTTGGCCCTGGGACCCAGCAAGTCTAACACTAGCTCTGGTGACCCCATTAAAATGGCGTCAGCGTGACCCACTTTGGGGTCCTGACCGACCTTCCGAGAGCTGCTGGACTACATCACTGTGCCCTGCGGTAAATAGGTTGGAGACTCAGACTCCAGATTAGAAATTCTGCAGGAGTTTCTGCTTCAGATGCAACTCCAGAGCCAGACTTCAAAGCTGGGGTGGGTCTCTCTTGCGTAGAAAGACGTGGGGTTTTATAGAGTGGGGAGAAATTGGGTCGGCTTCTAGTCGGTCTTGAATGTTTTATGTATGTCAGCAAGGCCTGGGCAGGTCTGGCGGCAAGGCAGGTTTCTGTAGTGCTGATTTCTTGGAAAAATTCCCTTTGAAGTCAGGGGGAATTTTGCTCAAGGAGTGAGAGAGCCCTCCACAATTTGGCCCTGTCTTATTCAAAGACCTTTTGGCCCCAGTGTAATTCCATTTGCCTCACTGGCTCGCCTCCTGATTGACGCCCGTGGGAGATCAGACTCAGGCTCTGCGAGGTGCCAGTCATAGAGGACACATGCTTTGCTTCACATAGGAGGGGTTTAACCCTGTGGATACGAACAGGATTGACCCTCCCCTGTACATGTGGGAGCTGTAGCTCTATCGGGCGCAATTTTTTATTCCCATTTTAATTAACAAGCAGCTGTGACACCGATCAAGTAAATACACTGCCTGGGTCGACTGAGAATTCTGTGCAGCTTCAGTTACTCACTGTAGTTTGCATTTTAATGTCACAATATTTCTCTGTGACTCCCCTGCAGCATGTACACCACAGAGGCAGTAAAAACAGACGGCAAAGAGTCCTCCCCTGTGATTTGCAGCCTCCCCACATGGACTTGAATTTGGTTTGTTTAATTTCATTGTAAATAAGTCCTCTTCCTGCAAGTGTCATTCTGTGATCTACCTAATGATAAGAATAAGATCTAATAAAACGTGTGTGTGTGTGCACACGTGTGTAGACACACACACACACACACACACTTTCCCTCTCTCTTCCCCCTCCTGCAGATCTGGCCAGCTTCCCAGGTGCATGGGCTGAAGTTTTTGGTTTATTCCCAGTGAAACGCTTGTTTTGTTCCCATTCAGAATTCTGCCTCTGTGCATGTCAGTGTCACTCGGATGCTCTGCTCTGAGTTTTTTGGGGCTATTCTTTTTAAAGCATGTTTTTGAATTTCCATTTCTCGTCATATTTCCCTATTTTGCTCCAGCATCATTTTGTCTGATGTGGGGACATGATATGAACATCTTTGTCCTTGTGCTAAGCCACGTTTGTTTTCATGTCTGGGTGAAAGGAGATGAGAGCATTTCTTGGCAAATAAAGACAAAATCCTCATAGGTATTTTGGGAGCTAACTCCTGTTCAAATCAGTGGGACTTTAGCATCAGAGTGTCAAATGTACTTGGGTGCCTAAGTCCTGATCCTGCTTGAGAAATGGTGGGACACAGTCCTGAGTTCACACAGAGCCCCTGTCAAGACTGATTCCCCACTCTGGCATGATGAATGCAGAAGTGGAAGCCTGCAAAACACCCCCAAAACCTGATCTCCACAGGCTTTGGTACAAAACTTCCCCCCCAAATCCTAATACCTGGACTTTGGAGAATCCACTGCCACCACCAAGTGCTTTTGAACCCCCAACCAAAGGTGGACACTTGAAACCAACCCCAGGAGTACCCCAAGCTCTTTTCTCCAAAGAGCTTGAAAGAGAAAATATAAACGTCCGTCTGTGGCTACTATCCCCTAGTCGGAGGCAGGCAGATCCCACAGACAGATTTTCCAGGACACAGAAATGAACCAATACCAGGTTAATAAAAGAAAGAACTTTTATTATCAAAACAATACTCCTGTTGCAAGCATAATGACTAGATGAAAAAGTCACCAATTAATATTCTCATGGGCTCAGGACTTGGTTACAAAAGGGAGGAAACCCCATTTCTAACAGCACAGACATCAGATCCAAAGTCCCACAACATAAAACAATAAAACCTAATGGATTTATCTAAACTTTACCCTACTTACACATTTTGAAGAGTTTTTTTCTCGGAAAGAGACCTGTCTTCTGTCTCCCTCAGTATCTAGAGAGCAAAATGTCCCAGAGATAAAGGAGGGAAAACCCCAAAATTCCTTTGTCTCAGTTTGAAATCCCTATCTGCATTTCTATTGGCTGACTGCTACCTGGTTAGGTACAGTTAACCCTTTAGTCCCCAGGCTGCTGGCCATCCCTCATGACCATGACAGCCCCCATGATGTGCATAGAGTACCCCATGGGCAGAGGGGTTCACACATCCAGGTCTCAACACAGGATCAGGGTGGTTGTCTATGGCTTACATTTTCAAAAGCCAATTGTGATGGTGGGTGTCCCATTTTTGGGGTGCCCATCTTAAAACACCCAAAAAGGAACTAGACTTCAGTCCGTGCTCAGCACATGTCCTCTGGGTAGATGTCCACCCAAATATTGATCCAGCCTGATGATTAAATTAAACCACAAACCAGAGGACAAAATCTAATGATGCTGCAGGACTGATCGGAGCCAGGCTGAGTCACCCTTTAGTGGAAGGGATCCAAGTCACAGAAGCTGATTAAGAACCAACCCCATGCTGCTCAGGTTTTTGCCCCTAGCTTGAACTCCACAATTCATCAGATGCTTGAAGATAGCAATAAACGTAATAACAATTCTACATACCCAAACAAGAGGAAGCCATTTGTGCCCCTGGATATGCCCAGTGTGGAAAACTAGAACCTCGGTGTTTTCTCTTTATGATGCTGATCCTGAAATCAATGCCAAGACTCTCATCTGGCTGATTAGAGTCTAAATTATGAGATGTATTGTAGTTCATAGAGAGCTCTATCCGGCTCCCAAAGTCTTTTTATTGATTCGACCACTAGTTGGTCCAAGTCTGTACAATGTGCACATTTTAGGATCCAGTAATCTAATCTCGGGTTTGATTCTGCATCTATGGGATATTTAATGTAGTGTTTATTACCGCAGCTAATCCATTGAAACCCCCTCGGAATCATAGAATCATAGAATCATAGAATAATAGGACTGAAAGGGACCTCAAGAGGTCATCGAGTCCAGCCCCCCGCCCTCAAGGCAGGACCAAGCTCCACCTACACCATCCCTGACAGATGTCTATCTAACCTGTTCTTAAATATCTCCAGAGAGGGAGATTCCACCACCTCCCTTGGCAATTTATTCCAATGTTGTATTTGCATGCCTGGGCTGTAGTTACCAGCCAGTAATTAAACAACAAATGGTCTGGCAGCACTTTATAGACTAACAAAACATGTAGCTGGGATCATGAGCTTTCTTGGGCACAGCCCACTTCTTCAGATGACCGGAGTTATGAGTTTGGGATGTGTACACCCAAAATAAATAGGAGAGGGGAAGGGGAGAGAAGAAAAAGGGAAGGAGGTGGGATTCAGAGCATCAGTAAGCATCTGAAGATTGGGTAGTTAAACTGAAGCAGATAAAAATCAAAGTCAATAGATAGACTCTCATGTCAGGAAGGATACAACACAGAGAGCTGTTTGCACCTTCAGTGTCAGCAAACAACAGCGTAGAACATACAACCTCAGTCATGCAGAACGCAATGCTATTCACAGCCTCAAAACCAATCCTAACATCATAATCAAAGAGGCCGACAAAGGAGGCGCTGTAGTCATCATGAACAGGACAGATTATGAACAGGAGGCGAACAGACAACTCACCAATACCAGATTCTACAGGCCTCTCTCCTGTGACCCCACTAAGGAATACCAAAAAAACCATGAAAAAACTGCTCACAAAACTCTCTGATGACGCTCAGGAACAAATTTACACTAGCACTCCTCCTAATCCCCGACCAGGAACTTTCTATCTGCTACCCAAAAGCCTGGTAATCCCAGACAGCCCATCATTTCAAGCATTGGCACACTCACCACAGGATTATCTGGCTATATCGACTCCCTCCTCAGACCCTATGCTACCAGCACTCCTAGCTACCTCCGCAATACCACTGACTTCCTGAGGAAACTTCAAAACATCAGTA